TCAGCAGTGTTCCTCTGCAAACTGGGAAGTTCTTTAGAGATTTTGAGCTAATCAGTACAGTTCTGTGGTCTCTCTTATGTGGTGTTTTGTCATCCATCAATATATAAGTCAAATTACATGTTTAGGGCCTAACCATTGATGTTTATCATTTCATGAACAAAGGGGGGAAGCTAGCTAACTCAATCCATTAACTTCCTGTATTCTGTGCTGACGTTTTTAATCGGACTACCTTGTCGTTTATGTCTGGTCAAATTATGTCCAACTGCTGAATTTATGTACCTCTAAAGAGAATATACTGTATTTTAGCTTTGCTAGCACAAAAAAATTTGCAAGAACAGGAAATCCAAGGCAGGGTTGTACCAGGAAATGTGAGTGTGCCCCTATCCATGGACAATCAAAGCCACTGTTGACTTGCCTTTTGTGTTGTCCCACTTTTTGTCCAAGACACCAGCTCAACAAAATGATTCTGACCTTACAGATTGGCCTCTTCTGCTGTTTGTCACAATGGAAGGTTGGCACAGAAGAAGATGTGCTGGTCTATGCAAGCTTTCCAAGGACACAACAAATCAGTGTTTCTCAACTGGTGGGTCACGGAGTGTACAGTCAAAGAAACAACATCAAAAACACAATTTTATTCTAAATGTTTTTCTGATGCGAGACTTTTATTTTGATAGATGTGCGTGAAAGCTGTTGACACTTCTGTCAGATGCAGTTTAAGTAAAGATTGTCTGAGAAAAATGCGCTGTCCCGATTCAGTATCTGCAGTCAGATGAGATGTCGGGCTTAATGTCAGATTCATTATTCTATCATTATTTTCATAACTTATAAAATAAAAAGTCTCTCACCTCAGAAAAACAAACTATCCTGTCCTGTCAGAAGTTATACTGTGCTCGTAGCTCACACTCTTCAATTGCAAGCGCAAATTATGTAGGCCTATATGTTTAAATGACTGTGGTGGCTCATACCAACTTAATTGTATTAACAAACTAGTTTGGGACTGCTATTTAATAGCCTTACCTTATAGGCTGTTTATTCATCAGTATTAGTCATATTCTTACAATTTATGTGTTAAGTAAAGGGGGACAGTACTTGTGTGTATTTCACAATTTTTGTGAAACAATTTTGATTTTTTTTTTAACAACTTTTTTTTATATATATATATATATATATATATACAT